ACTATATGCGGATCACTGTTGATGGTTAATCTCCGCACGGATTATATGCATTGGGAATCAAATGTATTTCTCTTTCTCCTCCTTCTCATCGGCGCTCTCCTCAGCCGAGGGCGACGTCCACTCGCCGTTTGTGGTCGACGTGGTCTTCATGTCGCCCGACGAGGGCTCCGGTATCACAATCATAGGCGCGCAGTGATGGGCGCTGACCATAGCTGTGGCGCCGATTATGGCCGAACAGGTGGGCCGAGCGAACCGCAACACACCCGACGTGGAGTTGCTCTGCTGTGTATTGGTAGCCCCGGGCACGTGGCGCACGTTTTTGTAGCTTTGAAATAAGCATATGTATAGTTTGGGCACAAATAGACACCCGAGAGCTACCGTAGCGCTGATCGATATGCACATACAAAGGCTGCCGATTTGGATCTAGGTGATTAGTGAAAGTAGTGGGATAAAGTATTATGTTAATTATTATGTTTTTTTATTGTAAATATTTGTTATTGTGATTCGCGCTAAGAAATGATTATACGGAATATATAGTGTGTATTAAATCAATGAAAAATATATAAATCTTATAGTAATTTACTATTGAAAAAATGGGTCGACTTTTATATCATACGATTATTACGGATAATAACATCATTTGAACATAAATTGACGACAATCTCATGTTTTATTTTCTATAATACTATAATATCTGATAAGTTTAATAATCAATGAATCCTTATATTAATATTATTTATTTGCTTTTGTAGTGAAAGAAAATCGTAATAAAAGTAAAAGAAAAATATATATGAATTAAATTTGATATGAAAGAAAAATTGCAAAATATGTCATTTATTTATACCCATATAGTATTGTAGGGAATATTCATAGAAAGTAATGCTTTAATGCCATAAAAGCACAGAAAATTAGGATAAAAATGATTGTATGAATGAATGAATACAAAAATAATAAATAATAACAATAATCATTAAATGGGATAATAAGGCATCAAAAATCAGGAACACATCACGTCTTGGAGTTAAATACATGCAAATGTCTTATGATATTAGATGTTATTATACTTAACATATAATATGCAAATATATCCATAATTTTGCATCGTTTCAATAATTGAATTATTAAAATATTTTGCCTGAAATTGATTTTTATTTATAACTTTAAAACTAAAAAGTTAGTTAATATGTTAATTAAACAAAATTTTTATTCGCAAATATATTTTGTTTATTGTTTTGCCGGTAATTAAGGGCAGAGAAAAATGGGTAATATTTTTGCATTTGAATACTTTTATCAGCGAATAATATGCCGTCAAATGCAGCAAAAATTAGCGGTAATTAAAAATTCAGAAATTAATTATTTAAAAAACAAATGTATTGTAAATTATATATACATTTGAAGCTAACATCTCGGCTACAATTAAAATGCATATTTAAAATTTGTAGATTTAATTAATGCCACAAACTTTTGACAATATGCTAAATAAGATAATCAAATAAATTAATCAAAAATTTTTGCGTACATTTCTGTGCCTAAAATTAGCGATTTGTTAAGAGTGTACGAGAAATGGTCATAATTTATGATATAATCTTTTGGTTCAATTGATTAAATGAACACAAAAAATAAACTCCAATTATAATTAAATTTTTCTATATTACTGAAAACTTTTCTTTCCTATAAATTAGATTTAATAACCAGAAAGTCATGAGAAGTCATTGTTTTTTCAAAAAGAGTAAAATAATCTATAATTCTCTAAATTTTTAGTAAATGTCTGGAAGAAAATAAATCAAATTTTAATTAAAAACAAAATAAGTATTTTTTAGGAAAATTAAACACAAAGAAAAGGAAATAATGTTTGAAAATAAGACTAACAAAAAAAGGGTAATTCATTCATATTATTAAAACAAATTATGTATAAAAATAGTATTAATAAATAAATTTTATATATAATGATGTATTTGTTATGATAATCGCAAACACTTGGAGCTATAATTTTGGCAAAAAATTCCTGTTATAAACCAAGTAATGGTTTTAAAATTTCTTATTTGAGATTTTGCATTGAATTTGGTATTGTTTTTCTGATGCGAAAGCATTTTCTTTTGTTGATAAGAGAATTGACAACTTATTTCACTCATAAACATAATAAACATTTCACTTTTTGCTATACTATTCACAGTAATATGACTTTAAATAAATCAAATTCTGTTTGCATTGCGTTTCAAGAATTTTGTTATGCCTTTCCTTATGACACAAATATTTCAATATTTATTACAGAATATTATTCGTCACAAAATTCTTAATAGATATTGTCATAAGAGCTAAGAATAACAAAATCCCTGAACAACTCTGCAAACCATTAGCTTTCGCTGTCTGTTTGAAACCGATATGGTTTTGTTTGGATAAATGTTTTTTGCATTACATTTTGACATTTTTAAATTCCTATTCTATCCTAAACTAAACTTATAAAAAATGCTGTATTTATAACATTTCTAAATTAAATATAAAAATATTTAACTTTGTATTTAAATACACAAACATCTATTTATATGTAGGTTGAAAAATATCTAATAAATCTAAAAACTAACAAATTAAATATTGAAATAATAATTTTTTTAGTGAAAATCTAATAGCAAATGTTGTACACTATTTCAATCGGTCTTATATTCTAGCTTATAAAGTAAAATTTTAATATTAATCAATAAATTAAAAAGAGATTAAAACTTACTTTGAAATCATTATTTGTACCAAAATAGATGGGAATGAATGCCAACCAAACAATACAAGTGGAATACATGGTAAAACCAATATACTTGGCTTCATTGAAATTCTCGGGTATTTTTCTGGTCTTGAATGCATATGTGGTGCACATAATGATCAACAGTTTATTATAGACGAGCGATACGCCCATCGATGCGCTCGATATACCGCACTGGAGGACAGAAAACTGTCGATAGGCCTGACTATAGATGACTTCCTTGACGGAGGGCGGGTCGCGGATGATCCACGCGATTATGAACACTAACTGAACGCTAACCAAACAAATGCATATAATTATCTGCGATCGGGGACTGGTATAGGAGGGCCTCTTCATGCCATTCTTGATGCCCCGATTGAATATACGTGATATGCGGTTCGTTTTGGTCAGAATCGCCGAATAGCATATGCATAGCCCGAGACTCAGCCCGATTCGGGTGATGGAGCACGTGATGAGCGTCGGTTTGGCCAGAATCACGAAACTTATGACATAACACAGCATTATTCCCGACAACAGTATGTAACACAACTCACGGCCGGAGGCCATGATTATGGGCGTGTCGTTGAACCGGAAGAATACGGCGATCGTGAAGAGTGTGGCCACGATTCCCAACGAGGCGAACGAAGCGGGCACTATAGTCCACGGACTGTCCCATTGCATGTACTCAATGGGCAACTTATTGCAGCCCGTTTTGGTCTCGTTTGGGACAAACCCTTTGGGACACTGCATACAGTAGGTCTCGTTGAAGACGTACTCGTCGATGAAACAGGCGGTGCAGTGCCAGCAACACGTGTTGGACTCGTGGTATTGCCTGTACTGACCCGAAGAGCACGGCTGACTGCAGGCCGACGTTGGCTTCACGTAAGACTCGGCCATTTCGGTGAGCCATGTGTTGCTCGTGTTGTGGAAGAATCGCATTTGTGAATACCATTTGAAGTGCGATAAATTGAATACCAATCTATTTGTAATGCATTTATGAGAGATTCAATTAATTTATTAATTTTTAATTTATTAACTCTCATATTGTATTAAAAATTCAATTAAAATTCAATGCCTTATGAATTTGTAAAATTTATACGCTTTTTATTCTGACATTCATTATAAATATGTGTTAATATATGTTAACTAATTTTTATATTTTATAATGTGTTAGTTTATTGAATATTTATGTATTGATTACTAAATGTATTACTAACTTAAGAATTGACTGGTTTTAGCTATAAATAAATGGTTTGTCTAGAAATTCATTAATAAATTACACGAAATTATTTTAAAAACACTTGTTTTTACAAAATTATTTAAATCACTGTATTATAAATTTATATAATTTATTTAACAATAAATATGAAAAATCCAATCATTAAATCAGAAATTATGTAAATTATAGTGCAATACATGGT